AACGTCCTGCCGATTTCTAGCATCAGCGGTTGACTAAGACTGGAGTGTAACTTCAGAAAGGACTGGTCTAAAGACAGGAGATCTGTGGGTTTCCAAAGACAATCTGAGACTCAGTACAACCTGTTCATTCACAAATATCAAGCAAAAGAGAAAACACATCCAAAGGCTACAGAGGGTCAACATAAAGATGGCTCACGGCTCCAAGACTGTGATTCACAGAATGATCTGGGTGTAAAACCAAAACAAATCCACAATAAACAACCCACCACCCCCCCCAAATGCTTCTACACGTGCACACTGTCTGTTCCTACCCGGGAGATGGGAAGATCTTCCTCCACTTCTGGAGAGCAGCTAAAGCTTCCTGAACGTTATCACTGTGCAGTAACAAATATCTGACAGGGGGTTATAACAGAAATCACTTGAGGGCCCGGAGCAGGGCTGTAGTTAGTTATTTCAGCAGTAAGCAGTTTAAGGCAAAATGGACTGTTTAATAAAATGTGTAGGCTGAGATGGAGTTATTTGGAATACTCCAATCTCCAAGTGTACTTTAATGAGAATAAAGGGACAGGAGATAACACTGTTCTAAGGACCAGCCAGGCTTCATCAAGGTCTAATTCCCCAAAGTTTTGCTGGTGTTTACAGCACTCTGCTGTTCAGGTTTTATTTAGACTACAATGACTTTGGCCAATGCAAAACCTCATCTACGAGATCTCCACAGTCAGGAAAGCTCTCAAGAAAGACACTGCTACCAAGGTTTAACACACCCATGCTATATAAAATGCCATACTTTTCAGCAGCTGTTTGCATTATGATAAATTGGCAGAACTGGCTCCCCAAGCAAACCTACAAAATAAACACTGAGCTGCCTGCACAGCGACCAAGCTCTCGTAACAACTGCCCCCTTCTAAAAAAAAAAATCACTGGGACTCACTAATCTGAAACAGATACAACATAAACTGCTGCCACAGGTCAGGGGTTTGATAATGGCAGTGGGCTCCACGCTTCCCACGTCACCTCCCAAGCCAGCTGTGCATCTCATGTGCACAGCAGCATTGGGGCCGAAATTCCTGTGCCTTACCCACATTCCATTCAGAGAGAGATGCCTCTCTGATGCCATGCAACGCCTCACTTTGCTCCAAATTAAAGGGTTTGTTCAGTTTAAACACTAAACTGGGAGGACAACAATGATGTCCTGAAAATAAAATTAAGGGCAAGTAACAACACAATTACTTTTTTTTTAAAAGCTGGTATTTTATTTTGGTGAAAGTTTCTGCAAGTCTTTTTTGAATACTTTCATCTCATTAATTTGTGTTCTTGGCATTAAAGCACCTTATTCATTTCAGTCAAACAGCTTCCAAATTGGATGGGGGGAATGTGAAAAAACACAAATCAAATTCAACATACGTAACTGCATTTTAATCTAAATCTTCACCAAGGCCCTGAACTTCAAAAATTTCCTGTTTGAAGGCTGTGCTACAGTTATGTGCTCCATCCTTGGGTGCAACCAATGAATTAAATAACTTTTTCCAGACTGGTGTTGATGTATGGGTGAAAACAATTCCAATGATGGAATACAGTGTCTTAAATTAAGGAACTCCAAAAGGTTTGATGTTCATACTGTTATCTCCCCTTAGAGAGAGAGAGACAACCTTAATTTGTTTCAATTTAAATGTTTCAGCAGGGCATCAGGGCTCCTTTCCAGCTCAGTTCACAATCTGAAGCTGACTCAAGGCTTCCCATTAACTCTCCCTTCAGTCACTGAGTAGGAAGGGAAAACAGTCTTAAGTTGCTTATTTTTGATGAAGCTGACCCATCCATTCATAGGAGGAAAGAAGAGCACAGAGCAAAGAAGAAAGCTGTGCTTGTTTCCCTATACAAATAAAATTATGTGCATGACAAGTGTGCTGCTTAAGAGAAATGGTCACAACAAACCAGCTTATAACCACAGTTCTGGCTACAAACAATTGAAATACTTCCTTCTCACAAGGAATAACAAGGCCCCACACCCTGAGCATTTTAAAATACAGACATCTAAGTGTCATAAAACATCAGAAATATTTTGTCAAAGAGTTCAAGAAACCTTATGGCAAAAGTCTCAGCAATTCCCTCCAAGCATAGTTGTCCCAGGGGAAGGACAGAATATTAAATGGTCCCAGTGTATTTTACTTCCTGGAAAACAGGGAGAAGAGCCCTCTACAATGCCTATTCACAAACCCTTGGAGCTGCATCAGAATGTCAGTTTTGAGCCCAAAGATACTTTCTAAAACAACAACGAAAGATTTTTTTTCTGAACACTAGAAATACCAACAAAAGGAGGCGAATGATTTCAAATCCTTCTAAAGTATCAGCCTTTCTCAAACACAGCCCTGTTCTCTTCTGAAATACCTCTGTGTAACAATGAAACAGAAATAAAAACATTTCTGGTTCAGAGTCCTGATCTGGAGAGAAAAGGTATTTCATTTACTAAGCATCTCATGAATCTGATCTTACCAAAAAAGATCTCAACAGCTTTTCATACTGCAGTGGGATTTTTCTTATAATTAAATGGCAAGGGACTCCACCAAGGTGGAATAAACCAAGTACAGTACCAACAGTACCAATAATTCCTGGTACTGTTCTAAGGGAAGCAACCTGGTTAAAAGAGTGATGTGGGGAAAAAAGCACTTCAAGCACCCCAAAGTGGAAAACACCAAGGAAAGTAGGGGCAGGCAGTAAGACTTGAACCTGGCAGGTCAAGTCAGAAATAATGTAGCTCGTACTCAAAAAAGTCAATTAGAAAATAATCAAGTTAGGATAGGCACTGTTGTTACATCTGCAACTCTAATTAATTGCAGAACGTTTCTGAAGTGGTAGGAGTAATATTCCAGCAAAACACATCCTCTGTACAAGTCTCAACAGGTACAGGAAAAACATACAAAAAGCTGTAAGTTCAGTGCTATTTTATGGATTATGGTAGCTCCTCACACGATGTTTTCACAGGTATTAACACACCCACCACACAGAAAATTTGTTTTCCATTCCTGGAAATAAAACATACTGCTAGAAACCAACCATGCAAATTAAACACAACAGAGAATTACGGCAGGTTCTTACGTTTTCTTCCTCAGGATCCACAGCAGCCCTGGCACTTATTTACTAACCAACCCAGTACCTGGAAGAACTACGGAGTTATCATTCCAAAGGGTTGACCTGGATGGATAACAGGACTATAAAGTGCTTTAGATACGACAAATGTGGCATTAAAATTTCAGGCACATGACAGTTCTGACTGCCTTTGACTTCTGCAAACAGTAACTAAGATACCTGAGTTTATCAGCCTGCAGTGATGACAGCGTTGCCTCGATCACAGCTGCAATGACTGACCACCAGTGAACTTCAACAGCTAGTAGCCATTCACCAAGTTTAAATTGCCACCAGTGTGGAAAACCAACCCACTGCTTCGTTGCCACTTCCTTTGTGAGTCACTTCCCTACGATCCACTCACAGGGGCAAGGACAGGACTCTCCCAGAGCTCAGGTGACATCACCAGAGCAAGGATGCAGGGATCATTTCAGATGTCCTCTCCTCCAGCCCCGGTTAGTCCCACGGGTTTCTCCATCCAAATCCTGCTTCAGAGCAACCCAACTCCTTCCAGCACTCTAAGAAAATCAAACGTAAGGGACATTTACAGAACACTGACGTGTTTCTCACCTCAGAAGCAAAATATTTGTAACAGACATTACAAAACCTACCTATTTTCTTTTCTCACAGCCTCCGCAGAGCCTTCGTTGACAGGAAGTTTACCAAGTGGCAAAAACACAACACAAGCATTTCAGGCCAAGTCCCCATTTCCTTGTTTTTCAACCATAATATTTTCACAATAGCATGAAAGCCGTCTCAGAGTGCAAGACTCCAGCACAAACTGGTTAGTCTTTTGGAAAGGAAAAAAAAAAAAAAAAGCCACTGTAGTATCCAGTGTTCGGCCTGGATCGATGACCGAAACACAAGAACAAAACCAAGGAAACGCGAAGCAAAGGTTAATTGCACACTACATTGTGTTGGTGCTTTAAAAACCAGCTCAGCTAAAATATATAAGTGACCTTGTACGATAATTGCTCGGAAAAGCAGGCAGGCAGCTTCAGTTCGGGAACATAACTGAGAATTTCTGGGATAGAAACGTGGAAACAAGTGATATCGTGTGAATTATTCGCAGAACTAAGTCACCTGGTCACAGCATTAAAAAAAAAAAGCCCAACAAACAGAAAACAGAATACTAATTTCAAGGTGTTTGCTTCGGGGGAGGAGACCTTCAAGGATGTCTACTACAGGAATTACTCCCTATTCATCCCCAGGGAACTCTGATGAGCATGCAGAACGGGCTGCGCAATTCCCAACCATTCCCTATTGTTCCACAGTCGGTGCTCAAGCGAGCGCGTAAACAAGCCACGAAAGACAAGATGCCACCCGATATCCGCTTAAAGACCGCAACTTTATTGACGCGCGGCCCCAAAAGTTCACGCTTGGCCCTTTTTTTCCTCCTTTTTTTGAGCCCAACGGGGAGGCGCAGCAGCAATTACGCAACGCTGTTCCTTCGGAGGCGGCCGGGATGGAAACTCCGGGAATATCCAGGGAGGGCACTGCGTCCCAGGCCCTCGGGGAGTCATCCCGGCTCGACGATGTCCCTCACGCCGCGGCCCCAGGGTGACAACGCAACATGGAGGGCGGGGGGGGGGGGGGGCTCTGCGCCCACACAACCGCGGTACTGCCCGCGCCGACAAGACCCCCTCACGGCGACACACCAAGCAGTCACCGGGGAAGGGGCCGGAGCGCCCCGAGGGGCTGAAACGAGCCCAAAAAATGGGTGTCCGAGAAGCAGCGGGTCCTCCCCGCGACCCCCCCCCCCCACCGCCGCTCCCGCCTTCCCGCCCTCAGCGCCCCGCGCGCGCCAGGCACGGCACGCGCTCCCCCCCACCCCGCTCCCTCAGGGCTGAGGAGCCGCCGCTGAGGGACCCCCTCAGCCTTCCTCTTCCTCCTCCTCGTCCTCCTCTTCCCTCACGGAGCCCAAACTTCCTCAAGGCGCAGCGCCGGCACCTGCCGGGCTTCCCCGCACTCACCGCTGCGGCGCCGGAGGACGCCCAAGCCAGAGCCCGCCTGCCGACCGCCCGACCGCCGTGCCACACAGGTGCCCTGCCCGCCGTCCCCGGGCCCCTCTTCTCTTCCTGCCCGAGCGCCCTGGAAAAGGGCGGGAAGGGACGTGTCCTTCTGGTGCCCCTCAGGACGTGGCGCGGCGCGCCCCCCCTGCCCGTCCCTCCTCAGGTCACACCGTCCCCTCGCTCGGGGACACCGCATCGCCGCGGCTCCCCTGCGGCTCTTCCCCTCAGCCCCTCTGAGGGCTCCTACCGCCCCCTGACATGGCTGTTCCCCTCAGCCCCCCGGCTCTTACCCCCCCACCATGGCTGTTCCCCTCAGCCCCCCGGCTCTTACCCCCCACCTCCAGCCATGGCTGTTCCCCTCAGCTCCCGGCCCTCAGTCCTCCCGCCCCACCATCACCCCTCCGCCGCGGGGTGATGCAAGGCGCCCAAGGCTTCCCCTTGGGTTACGGGAGGGAAAGAGGCAGACGGGAAAAGGGGGGGAATGTGGGAGGGGTGCAGCAAGGACCAAGATGGAACGAGAGCCCCCCTCAGCAAGCGGCGAGGCGGAACGAGAGCCCCCCTCAGCAAGCGGCGAGGCGGAACGAGAGCCCCCCTCAGCAAGCGGCGAGGCGGAACGAGAGCCCCCCTCAGCAAGCGGCGAGGCGGAACGAGAGCCCCCTCTCCGCCGCCCCGCCCGGGCACGGACCCCCCGCCGGAGCCGGGACCGCCTCGCCCCGCTCGGTCCCGCCGAGCGCCCTCACCGCTGTCCCTTCAGGGCCGCTCCTCCGCGTCGCTGCCTGTGGTAAGGAGCCGATGGCCGCAGCTCCGCTCGGGGCTCTCGTCCTTCAGCCGGGTCCGCCCGGCCCGGGCTGCGGCGCTGCTGCGGCGCCGGGAGCGCCGGGCCCGCCGGTGCCTCCGCCCGGGCTCTGCTGCACCTGCTGCGGGGCTGGGCTGCCCTGCGAGCAGAGGAGGCTCCCTCGCTCCGTCCTCCCTCAACTTCGCATCACTCCGGGCTGCCCCCGCTCCGCGCCGCCGCATACACCGGCGCTGCCGTCCGCCCCCGGCTCCGGGGAAAGGCTCGGCTGCCCTCCCGCCCCATGCACTGCCCCGCTCCCGGGACAGCGGGCAGCTCCCGGCACAGGGCAGGTCCCCCGTGCCCGCCTCTGGCGGGAGGGGCCGCGGCCGCCTCCGCCAATCAGCCCCAGCGCCCATAGGGTTTAGCCCCAACCTCTTTAGCTCTAACCCCCACTGGAGGCAGAGGCACCTGCCTCTAAACCAGGTCCATCCAGCTGACTAAACGTTGGCTAAGCAATGAAGTTATCCCACCCTCCATCATCCTGGGAAAGCAGCTTTTAAGGCCCTGACCTGACGGACTTTAAATACTGACGCTAATTCTCCAATTAGTTTTGGGTGGGTGTGGATTTGGTTTTTGGGTGGTTTTTTTTCCTGCTATTCACTTCTATAATAATAACATAACAATAAAGTATAATAAAAGTGTATTTTCACAGCGGACAGACAATAAAGTTCTTTGAAACAATAAAATTTGTCCCTCATCTCACACGCACTCTAAAATCCAAACTTTCCGTCTGCTTGCTTTATTCTTTACGTTCAAAAGTGTTTTATGGACCCACTGTTTCATTGAAACTTTTACAATGAACTCTAAAGAAGTGTCAGTCTCTCTTTCAGATCGGACAGATCAAGTTACTCCTTTAATAAAAGTGAAGGTTTCAGTTTCATCAGACAAAACAAGAAAGTTAATGAAATTGGAATGGTAAGTTAATGATGTGCACGATAAGAGGAATGAACATAAGCTTTAGATTGATCCCCATTCTAGTACAGATGGCTTGCAAAAGAAAATGAAACTTTACTTTCATTCAAATTAGTCCAATTTATTTGGGACATAGAACTTCTCCTGATATTCATTATAGAGCCTTTTAAAAGCTCTTGCGTTTCTCACATATAAAACAAATCATTAAAGTTTCTCAAATCCCATGCCCCATTTGACATCTAGTTAACATTAAATCCCGTGTTAAGCTTCAGTGGGTGACGCTGAAATCCTACAAACTAATAGTGGCCTTTGGCTTTGAGGTAAATACTGAGCTCTCAAAATGAGGTTCTGAAGTTAAATGTCTCAAAATCAAGCATATTCACACTGTTGTGTCAAAGGTTGTAGTTCCTTCTGGACAAAATAAATTTCAAACTGTAATGCCAATGGAAGGCAACAGGTAACAATTGAGTAAATTCAGCTTCTCTGCGTATCTAAGTGACCTCCTTATTCCGGTGGCAACTGCTTTAGGAAATCCAAACCCAGCAGAACCGTTCTTGGGGTAACAGTGGGCATAAGTCTGGATTTGAACCCAGTGTAGGTTTTGTGCAGACCTCCCTGAGCTATGCTGAGATCTCCTGTACATTTATCGATATTCTCTTTATTTCTCTCTTTTGGCTTTAATAAAGGTGCTCTTGCTGTGAAAGCAGCAATTGGTGCAATTACCTGGGGATTTTTATTACAATTGCTTATCAGACCTTGGTAAAAAATCAGTTTAAGTGTTTCTTCATGGAATGTGGTACTGAAAACGTCTCACAGTGGTGGTAGTGTTTTGAATTTGCTGTGTACCATTTAATTCTAACTCAGGAGAGAATGGTACTTTTACAAGCTTTTGTATTATTTCCCACACATTCTGCCTTTCCTGTCAGCACGTCATAGTTGCTTGATTTGATCATTGTTCTGCCTTGCCAGTGTCCTATCTTATTCAGCGAGCAAGCATGGGTCAGACACAAATTATTGTGTTCAGAGTTAATGATTTCCTCAGAACATCATACATTTATTGTAACAGCATGTAGTGGTCTTTCCTTGTGCAAACACTTCAACTCCAAGAACGTGATACTGTCCTGTTATGGGTACATGCTATTGCAAATTTGCTTCTATTTCAAAATCCAGATATGCCTAAAGTTTTTGTATTTAACAATTTTGTATTTCTTTCAAGGTAAGTGTGAAGTGTTCATTATTAACTAAGCTATTATTATATTTCTAAGGTGTATAAGTTGTACAGGCCAACCCTGAAACAGGGATTTTTTATTCTCTGGTAAATTCCAGAATGTAACCCAGAAAGTCAGTGGAATTGGAATCTTGGAATTCGAAATTGTGATAAGAAAATTGGATTCAAATAAAATAATAAAAATTCACAAAATGCTACAAATCTGAAGCATTCTTAATTTCGGTTAAAGTTTTGCAGAGCTAATAAACACTTCAGAAGTGTTTTTGAAGAACTTTCTATCGTTGTCCAAAGGACACTTTTATATTCTTTTTAAAGAGAGGAATAGTTAATGAAAATTTGTTTTTAAGTTGGACAGAGATGTCTCAAAGTTATTTTTACTGGCTGAGGAACAAGGAAATGCTGCTTGACACGAAGTGTTTCTCTGAGGTTGTAGTGTGCCTTCACCCAATAGAATCAAGTTCTAACTTGATTCTGTTGGATGAAGGCAACTGTTCCCTGTTGCATTTTCTTCCTTGTGGACTTTTTATCATGCTCATAAGAATCAAGGAATATTCTAGATCTGTGATTCTTCAAAGCTGGTTAGTTGAACTGTTCAATGTATGTAAGTTAAGTTGAAGATTATGTCCCTTGTGCTTTTCTCCTGATTTGCACAGGTCTGTTGGCAAAAGAGAAAGTGATTTCTCCAGTAGATTTCTGGATCGTGATGATTCACACCCTGTTCTTTGGGTTGTTTTCCCCGCTGCCTTGATTGTTTTGGCTATACATGCACATACCTCAAGAGCTTTTACACAGCAAAGTAGAAGTACAAACCTCCTTGTAGCTCATCTGAGACAGTGTTAGATGATTTTGCTTGTTAAGTGGTACGTGATCGGCCAAACTAATTTATTTACCTGTGGTTTGGAGTTCTTTTGCCTCTCCAATATGCCAGATGGAACTAATCATCTGAAATGTATATTACCTGATTTAACTGCAGTGTTACCAGACAACCAGCTCTTCTAGATCTGCTTGCCACATCTCAGGAACTTGTTCACAGATCCCCATAAAAACAAGAAAAATGTCCAGAAAAGCCTGCCTTTGCTGTAGGTGATTGTTGGCCTTATTATCTCACATAACAGACACTAACACAGAAGTGATGCTAATTCTACCTGTGTGGGTGACTCCCAGAACTGTGTATTACACCTGTAAGTGGTGGTGCCCAACAGAAGATAAGTCCTGTGTGATCACCCTGTATTTTGAGGATCTTTTAGGTGTGAAATGTTAATTTGCAGGTAACTGCTGTGTATTTGGGCAGCGGCAGAGTGTCAAGTGCCTCGGGTTGAGAAACCTGTGGTGCACCTTCAGTTGTTCTCTCAGTGCAGCCTGCGTGATCACAAAACAGTGTGTGCTATTTCCTTGAGCAAAAATTGTAACAGAGAAAGAAGGAATCATTTATGAACAAATTCAAGTGAGATCTCATCTCTTATTATTCCTTGTCTGGCAGTACTGGAACTTTCTGAGGGGGGTTGTTGACCACGGAGTCAGAACACTTTACTGTACAAAGGTGTTAAAACCATTAATCCCACTTCACATTATGTGGTTGGAGGAGGTACAGGGAAGAACACTTAAGAGTATTTAGGGGGATGGAGAGTCTAAAGAAGCTGGAACTCTTCTGTATGGAAAGGGAAAAGCTGAGGGAGGATTTGGTCAAAGTCTGTGAAACCACGAAGTGGGTAGAGATGGCAACTACACAGCTGCTATCCGTTGTAATCCAAGAACGGGTGACAGTAACTGCAGCAAGTATCAAAACAGGTGAAAGAGATGAACGCAAGCTCTTCATGAAAAGCAGCTGACCTTGATTTCCTTGATTACCCCAGGAAGTTTAAAAGCAGGCTGTTTGAGCAGGGTAGGAAGGCAGTGAGCAGCTTTGTGGGCAGCAGCTTTATAAACCTGTTCCAAGGGCAGAGTTTGACTCTGGGAGTGTGCAAGTCCAATACCTGAGTATTCTGGGTAAGTAATAAAGGTTTTGATTATACCAAGTGGTTGTGCTGTCTCTGAAAGGTATTTTCTTTTCCTGGTGTTAGAAACTGAATAGTGGCCCAGAAGGGCTTTGGTCACCCATGTGGTATTTGTTGTACTGGAAGCTCTTAAAGTAGACAGTAGAGAAGCTTGTTAATTAAGTTTTCTTGTTATTTTTGCACTGGTCTCAGCAGAACTCTATTTTAGGGTGTAATTGGAAAATTACAGTACCCTTCTTTTTTTCTTGTTAGCAAGTGGAGATTAATTTGTTTCTGTGCAACTTGGGTCTGGAAGTCTCAGCTGTCTTTTCTGAGTATTTGTAAATCTTTGGGCAGTATCGATGTTAGGCTGAAATACAAACAGGCAATAAGGTGTGGTGTCGGTATTTGTTGATTGAGTCGAGTTTTGTTTATGTTACCTATTCTGGTGAGTCTTTGTTCCTTTGGTTTTTTTTCTATGCTTAACTGTGATTCACTGGAGTCAATTCAAAACCTGTGCAATTCGCTGTAGCATTGCTGTGTTCTAATATTGCTCTTTTGACACTGCATCTTTAGTTGCTTTTTGAATTGGGGGATAACATCTTCCTTGTTATACATTTGCAAAGAAACTTAACAATAGCAAGATGGATGTTTGTGTTCACATTATGACAGAAATTGATGTTTTCCATTCAATTTAAGAAAAACAGTCATTAAGTCCTTAAGAAAACCCCCTGCACGTGAAAAGTCACTCGTGAGGTTTTACTTAGACTATTGTTTCTATCCATAAACTTGACTTTTCAGTTAAGATGTTTTTCTTAACTCCTTGAAAACTGAGAAATCATTGCTATCTTTGACAGGGAGGTTCAAATGCCAGATTGGTACAAACTCAAAAACTATCTGTGTGGATTTAATCTGGTTAAAACATGGTGGGTTTAGTTTTGGTTAAAACTGTTTGCCTATGGAATTTGTTACCTTGCAGGTTATTATATTGCACGCAAATAGTGCCCTAGGTAGCCATCCTTGTTCCTCTTCAAAGAGAAGAGCTACAATTTCATGTCTTTAAGCTTAAGGAACACCACACAATAAATATTAGTGGTAGGTGGTTTTTTTCAGTTTAAGTATCAAAAGATATTTGAAGTGTGTTACCTGATAGAGCTTGCTTGTTGTAATCAGTTTGTTAGTCAGGAAGAAGCAATTACAAAGTAGTACTACAATAAAGTCTCATTTTTAGAAGGAAAAAAAACCCACCAAAACCATGAAATAACAAAGCTTGGAGTTAGTACTAATTTCATACCTGGCCCTTGCAAGTGGTTTTTTTCAGAACCCACTGGCACTATCTCCATATTGTAACAAGTACTGGGTTCACAATGTGGCTGCAGAGGGAGTGAACCCATCTGACAGGATTCTTGATTGTACTTTGTTTTTACACCTGTGAGTGACTTCAGGAGGTGCTGCTGAGGTTTGTAGCTATGGTTATAACTTCAATCATGCACGATGGTAAGCTGTGGTTTGTGTGTTTTTCCCCTGGAAAGTTACTTGTGTATGACCATAAATAAGACAATTAATAGTGCTTGGATACTCCACTAAAACATGTTTCTGTTTGAAGGGGAAGAAAGGGCAACAAACAAATGTGTTGCTCTAGCAGTATTTTATTGTACTTGGTTCTTGCAACATTTCTCATTAATAACAGATGTCTTACCACACCTACTAAAAACCACCACCAAAGGTGAGAAACACTGTTCATCTTGTTTGTTCTCCTTACCTCAGCTGAGAAGCAGGAGTGAGGAACAGAGCACCTCAAT